TGTTCCCACGCACAGAGTTCTGAAATCTGGGCAGGGGACAGCTAGGAGAAGACAACAGACTCAGCGCTCAGGCTGGACATTTCTAGAGAACCCTGATTTTCTCCGTGACTGACTGAAAAAAACAATCGCCTCTCTCAATATTCCTCCAACCGGAGCCTCGGATTCAGCAAGAGATCCCATTCAAATTGCTGGTCGGAGGCTTCCTTCAGCTCGACTAGATAATCAGCTGAGCACGCACATGCAAATCCATGCTCAAAAAAACGAAAACAAACAAAAACAAATGCTCTTAAAACCAGATTACCAGGGTTTTAGAGACTGGACAACATTTTTCTATTTAAGAAAAAAATACTTTTATTTGCAGGAAATGGAAATACAAAAGCATAACAATTTCAATTCATTTCTCTCCCCAAACTAAGTACAAGTTACAAAGCATTTATATTTTTGGTATTTACTTAGCTATGATAAAGAATAAAAAGTCATTTAAAAACAGCGCAATACAACAGGTAATAGACTGGCCGTGTCTCTACACTTAGACACTGCTGGTCTATTGAACTTGTTACAAACAAAAGGCGAGCCCAGCCATCAGCACAGACATTAAAGCTCGAGGTTGATTATGGTTCAGGGTCTGCTCAGCGCTGTTTAAGGATCGCTCACACTTTGTCAGAGTGCTGGTGTTTTCCATAGACTCATAAAGCATTTTTACCTGAAAGAGAGATTTTCCTAAGCACTGTGGGCTTTGGGGCCATGGTGCCAAAAGTTCACGTTCTCGCCCAGTTGGTGAGCAAAGGACAGGAGCAGAGCAACCCAGCTAAAACCCCTGTGTTTTTTCCTTTCCAGGATGCAAAGCCCACTCGCTGGAACTCACAGAAGATTGGGTGAGAGGACAAGAGATGGCCACCTGGGGGACATCGCCAGCCTGAGGCAAAGAACTGGACCTTGCACGGGGCCAGCGCAGGGAGCAGGTGCTGTGCTTCCTGCCCAGGGATCTTAGAAGTGTGCAGTGTTCACACCACGGAGTCTGCTCAGCCTAATCCACAAGCTGTTGCACTTCCAAGACCCCACAGCTGTTTAGCCAACTCAGAGTAACCAGTTGCCCTTGTTTCCTATCTATACAGTAACACTTAAAACGTATTTAGCACAGCACTCAGCCCTTAACAAGTGCTCAAGAAATATTTTTTCCTTCCTTCTTGAAACCAAGAGAAAATAAAGCCTTCCTGAAATTTAGGTTGTTCAAAATGACCATAGGAAACAAGGCCTGGATTTTTCCTGTGCTAAGTGCTGACTCTTTGGCCATGGAGGCATCTCGCACTGATCCCCAAGTGGGCCAGGTTCCTTGGCCTTGGGAAAATGTTCTGCTAAGTGGATTTATACTACCTTTAATCCCAGCTGGTCATTTTTTTACGCGAGTGCGCCTCTACACAATGGGATTTTCCTAATGGATGCAACCCTGACCCTGTTCTCCTGATGTACAAATCTGGTCGTTGCTCACTTTTAGGAAACCATTTCTGAGCCTTTGGATAAAGTTATTTCTCCCACCCCCACTGCAATGTAATATTACAAGGCTATCTATAAAATCTCCCATGCATAAGGCATGTGTAAGGCACGAGTGTCTAAGACAAGGGAGGAATATGTGTGTGTGTGTGTGTGTGTGCGTGTGACGGGGGGGAGGAGGGAGGGAGGGAGGAAGAGGGAGAACCTTCGCACTTGTGTGTTTGAATAGCTATTGATTAATGATATTTCCTCACCCCCTTATTCCCCAGGGCCTCATGCAACACTGTTCCTCGGGAGAAAGGGAGGGAATGAATGAATGAAGGAATGAATGAATGAATGAATGAATGAATGAATGAATGAATGAATGGAAAATCTGAAATCTGTCTCTGGCTCCTTCACAGCCCACATTTCACAGCGCCCCCGCTCTCTCCTGTAACTGCCTTCTGGGGTGCAGCAGGTGGAGGGGGGGGGCGGGAGGTTTATCCTATATTTTTCCTAATTGTCTCAGCTGAAAACCATTTTAATGAAATCACTCTGCCCGGGCACCACCTGCTACCGGTTCCACAGTCCCGCAGGCTCTGCGAGCCGGCAGCTGGTCCTTGATAAAGGTTCTCAAAGGCTGGGTTCCACAGAGCCAGGTGAGGGCCCCAGGGCAGGCCAGGGCGGCTGCAAGCCTCGCCCCTGCCTCCAGCCTCCCACGCTGGCCGGGCGAGCACGGCGGCCCATCTCCCCCGGGGTGTCTCCATTTGTGCACACCTCTCACGTGGCAGGTGTGTTCAGAGGAGCAGGCCCGGAGGGGCCTCGGGTCCTGGTTTTGTGGTTTGGCTCGGTCTCAGGACATGGGAGGGAGGAGCCATGAAGGGCTGAAAACTTTTAATGAAACGCTTGTGACAGAAATCCTGGACCCCGACTCACTCGCTGCCTGCACTGGGACGAACCGATTCCACACTCCTGTGCTACGGGCACACGAGACTCACAGCCTCTTTCGGCATTCAGCCTAACCCGAGAGATTTAGGAATTAGAAACATGGTATTTATAGTTGGCTTGTAAATAAGCTAAGCTCAAAGCTGCTTTTACAATCCACAAATCCGGGCTCCAAATGAAAACCACCGATACAAACAAACAGATCGCCTCATTTTGCTCACACTGGAGTCGAACCTCCCCCCCCTTCTGCCCTAAGGAGCAGCGGAGCTCGGCTGTGAGGTTTTTACATAACACTCGCTTCATGTGCGAGAGGCCCCAGGGTCCCAGCACTTCAGGGGATTCATTCCCAAAACCGGCGGCGAGGCCTTTCACTTTCAGTATCCATTTCCCAGTGTAAAGTCAAGAGCTGTGAGAAGGACCACGCTGGGGGTTCTAGGTTACTCGGGGCTCGCCCAGGGAAAAGGTGCCTGTTCTCTTAATTGTTATAAGAACCTCCTCCAATGGGGGTCATCAAAGAAAGGAAAGAGGGAAATATAATTAACACGTACGATGGACAGACTTCCTCGCTCTGGTTTGCGATCGCCGCTATTTGAAATCGGCGGGGCTGACCGGGGATTACTGACCAGTCTGTGGACCCGCTCTGTGGGGTCAAGCCGGGGACAGAAACGTGCACCCGTCCATTAATTATTTGGGACCCACCTGCTATTATCCAACTCTTGTCTCCTGACCCCATTATGTTCTCCTAAAGGCATGTGTTCAGTTTCCTTTACTCGCCAAAGCAGGGAGTGGAGGGCAGAGGTTCTCGGCACAGCGGCAATACTGGCTCTCGGGGCCCCCTTAAAATGGCCATTTGGGCTCCCAGTCTGATGTCCCCTGTCTCTAGATTCCGATTCCGATCCAAAGAGCCGTCTCCCAGACAGAAAACCCTACTGCATGGAGGTCTGGGGAGAGTGTGTGGCCATTTGGTTTTATTTATTTTTATTACATTTATTGGGGTGACATTGGTTAACAGGGTCACACAGGTTCCAAGTTACACCTCTATGGTGCATGACCTGCACATTGGAGAGGCATGTCAAGCAAGGGAAGGTGGGGTGAGAAAGGAATCCCCAAGGCACTAAGGACGGGGCTACCAGTTTGCTGCCCCTTCCCCTCTCCCTCCTCTTCAGAGGAGCAGATGTCCCATGCTGGCTGATCTAGGAGCCTCAAAAACCTGATCTGGCCTGGCCGGTGTGGCTCAGCAGTTGAGCATCGACCTAGGACCCAAGAGATCATGGTTCGATTCCCGGTCAGGGCACATGCCTGGGTTGCGGGCTCGATCCCCAGTTGGGGGCCTGCAGGAGGCAGCTGATCAATGGCAACTGTCTCATCATTAATGTTTCTCTCTCTCTCTCCCCTCTCTCTCTTCCTCTCTCTGAAATCAATAAAGATATGTTAAAAAAACAACCACCACCACCAAAAAAAAGCCTGGTTCCGGTGTGGCAGGTGGGTAGGCTGACCCATTCTCACACTTCTGCCCCTATGGAACCTTTCCTTTTGCAGCGTCCAAATACTACTTGAGTTAATTCTATCTTTTCTCCTTACATGACGCAGTTACCAGACAGCAGCCAGGCCCAGGAGGATCCAGGGCAGGAGAAACGGAGAGAAAGGAGTGGAGGGGAGTGGAGCAGGAGGCAGGCTAGCAACCCCGGTTCCCACACATCCCAGACGGCCCAGCCCTCCTTGGCCAGCGTAAGGGGCAGCGAGGAGCGTGCCGAGGACTGACAGGGCCGCCAGGACCACTGCAGTCTGCACCCTGCTCTCACACGCTGCCGAGAAGGTGAACTTGGCCATCTCCCCATCTGGAACGCTCTCCACCGTAAGTGGAGAGACACAGGAGTCACGGATGGTGAGCCCCAGATGTACCTGGGCAGACAAACAGATCTGCTTACGAGGTATGGTGGCAAATGTTAATGACATTTACCACGTATCGGACAGGGAAGGAATGGAAGGCCCAGCTGTGGGATTAATCCCTCTTAAGTACAGGTTCTAATGACAACGTAGATGAGACAGGGAGAGCGAGAGAGAGAGAGAAGAGTTAGAGCTAAAGGCCCTTCTGCTTCTACTAAAAATAAAATACAAAATGTAAGCTAATTTCCTACAAAAAATCTTTTATGAGCTAGGGAAAAACACTTCAGGAAAATTTCCTACATTATACCATAAAAAGGCAATTTCCATTTCTTATCTGTATGAAAGTGGAGAGATTTTTTAACTACAAAAGTTACTTTAATCATTAAAAAATAATAATAAAAGTAGGATGGGGGTTAGGTTATGTCTCTTTGGGTGAGCTGCAAAGTAGCCAAACCTGACTATAAAAGGTAAGACTGTGGATACACAAATGTCACCTGCTCCGACCCCAGGAGCAGCCTCGGGCCACCCTGTGTGGAGGCGGAAGAGAGAGTAAAGCAGGTGGAGGGGAGGCAGGAGGAGGGGCCAGGAGCAGAGAGACAAGCTAGCAAGGTTGTCCCCAAATGCCTGCTGTCAGGACAGGGCTTCCCTACTCTGTTCTGGGCGCGGGACAGACCAAGGGTCTGGCCACAGATCACAGGCCTGAGCCATCCTTTCCTCTGAGTTCATTCTGTAGGACGGCACATGCTTACAGGGGCTTCCCAACTACAGCGACAGGCCCCCAGGAACACAGGGGTTAAAGGAAACGAAACGGGGTCTGGAGGGCCGGGGAGCCCAGAGCCCAGGCTGCCCTCGCTGGCCGAGGCCAGCAGAAGACTGTGAGGCTGGGAGGGCGGCGGCCCCTCCGGGGTTGCAGCGGGAAGCCTGGGCGAGCTAATAAATACTATTTACAAACGGGGAGGAGAGGCCGGGAGGCGATGGATCGATGGGCCGCGGGAAGGGACGGGTCCCGGAGGTGGAGGTGAGGAGTCCTACAAGCAAGGAGCCGGGCGGGTTCGCGGAGGAGAGAAGCCCGAGTCCTGCAGGCATTGCACTTGCGGCCTGTCCGGGGCAGAGCGAGCTGGAGGCCGGGAACTGCAGGGTGGCGGGGTGGTGGGGTGGCGGGGCGCTCACTGGACACACCGGCACTTCCAGGGCTGACGGTGGCCACACCGGGGACCCGGGCTGAGTCACAGTTTCGCCAGATCCCGACAGGTATCCTGGGATTTTCATGGCCAGAGTCTGGGGTCTCCAATGAGTAAGAGTCACCTCTTCTTCACAGAGCCGGTCACACCCCGCAGGTGAGAATCAGGCCGTACCTTTATCTTTCCGGCACTATGGGTAGAAACAAGCCCGCTTGTCCCACCCCTGACCCTAACGTGATTTCCTACGGCAGGAAGCGAAAGGGACCCGCGGTGCCCGGCTCCCCTCTGCAGGAGGGACTCGGGCTGGAGGGGAGGCGCGCTCACCGCAGGTGGAAATCGCAGGCCGTCCTCCCGTCCAAAGCCGCGGCTGCTGGGCCACTGCTCAGCCACGTCGTCAACCGTGCGGGGTGGGGAAAGGGAAGGCTCATGACAAAGGTGGTTTGGGGACGTAAAAGCAGAGCGAAGAGAAAGAGGGAGGTGGAGGCCGCCTCTCAGAAGGTGGCGTTCACTCTTCTGTCGAGTTCCACGACCTTCAGGGTTTCATTCCCCTCCAGCTTGGCGCTGACCCTGGGAAGGCATGGAGAGGAAACGGAGGTCTCAGCCAGGCCGGGTGCAAGGCAGTCATCCCACCGTTACAGCTTTGCGGGCTGGCGCAAGCACGGCTCTTCCCACCCGGTAGCAGGTCCCAAGTCTCCCGCCACCGGCCCATCCGCCGTCCACTCTGCTACCTCTGTCCATCCCCACCCGGGAGGAGACATCCGGCCCAGTTCGAGGCTGATTTGTTATATGTTGCTTTCAAGTTACTGTATTTACTGAGGGTGGTCAGCCCTGTGCTAGACTCTGGGAAGGAGAACACAGGAGAAAGGCTGGTCCCTGTTCTAACATAGCAAATAATCCAAATAAAGACCAAAAAAACCCCACCCAAAACTAACTTGAAATAACAATAAATATATAACAGAAAATAACTACGTTATTAAATTGTGTAACAGCCTGGAAAGTCTCCAGCCACTCGGAGGAGTATGCAGCTTCAGGAGGGAGGAGACATCCCAAACAAGATGGGATTTCAGTGGGGCCTTGAATAGCTGAGCTAAGAGGGGAGATGACTTGTGTCATGAACCAAAGAATCAAGCAGCTGAGTCTCTGTAGCTCTAGAGTTTCTCTATAATAAAATAATAATAACCGCTTAAAGTAGTTAACGAGATTTATATATCATATTTAGTGCTTAAAATGGTAAGTGCTAGCACATGTTAAATATGCAGGTATGATGTAAACCTATAAAGTAAATGTAATCAAGAACCTTCCCCACAGCACTAGGGGGAGAAAGCTGAAGAATTAGAACCAGAATCTCTCCCACTTCCACTGGCACAGCATCATTTCTGGGAGGTGCAGGGGCCGATCACCAACCACACCACACACAACCAGGAGTGTGCAGCAGACCGTCCCTCCTGTTTGCCACCCTCAGGTACCTCCCCTAACACCTGATACTCAGGTAAGCCTCTACGTTTACAAAGGGACTTTTCTCCATGACTATCTAAGGGAAACGATTCAGGGAGGATTGGAGCCAAATGTGTTATTTTCAGTGTGGAAACACGAACATGCACAGGGCCTTTTCAACGGTGCCCCTCAATATAAATATATACTTATAACTGATGCATGTTTATTTACATATAAATCATAAACCTATATATTGCTATATAGCATAACATATACAGGGTGGGGCAAAGGTAGGTTTACAGTTGTGTGTACACAAAACACAGTTTATTCTTCTATCATCANTAACATATACAGGGTGGGGCAAAGGTAGGTTTACAGTTGTGTGTACACAAAACACAGTTTTTACTAGGATTTTTTAAAATTATTTTTCATACGAACAACCGTAAACCTCCTTTGGCCGATCCCTGTATGTACGTCTAGCTGGAAGGCAGTAGAGAAGGTGTCTTGAGGCTCCATTTGCCTAACAAGCCTCCTCCTGTGGCTGAGCTGTGTGTTCACTCCTGTGGCTTTGAGACGACGATGAAGAGCGTGAGGAAGGGGGTCAAGCCCTTTCCCTATGTCATGGAGCGACCACTGCACCACTGCCAGCTCCCCAATGACAAAGCAGGCTGTGCCAGGGCGGGAGGGGGCGGTCCTTTCCCATGTCTGCTAAGGGCAGCTACTGGCAAACAGTAGGCCCGCAGAGTCCCAGGCCCTGGAAACAGGCCCTAAAAGGGTGGAAGGACGGGCTGGACTAGGCCTCCGGGAGAGTCTCCCCCGCAGTCCAGGCTGCTGGCTCCCGACCCATCACCAGTGCATCGGAGGAAAGGAGTCTGTGTGCCATCCACTCACAGGCGCTGCTGCAGCTCCAACAGCACTGACTTCTCCAGGCTGCTCTCGTTCGAGATGATGAAATGGGGAAGATCCACATCAGGCCTGGGCTCCAGCCCCGACGCCCTGAGCAGGGAGGAGCCTCTGTCCCAGTGGCCCAGCTCCCCGGCCGAGGCGGGGCCAGACGGCTCCTCCAGGGGAGATTGTTCCTCGTAGATCAGCAGGTTCCTGGATCTCACTGAGGACGGAGGAAAGTGACAGGTGTTAGGAAGAGACCACAAGGACACATCACATCCCTCACTTGATGCCCTGGGTGGGGGAAGATGACAATCCATGGATCTCATTGCCCAGGACTGAGGGTGCAAGCTGGAGGTGGCTTTCTATAAAGGCTTCAGGGTTTTGTGCATTGAAAAATTACACCAATTATACAGTGTTGTAAAAACAATAGAAAAGCAAATAAACACAATGCAAACTGCCACCCCCACTGCTCTGAAAATAAAAGTCCCCTCTCCTTGCCCACCCGGACCATCTGCAGGAAACACTGCATGGAAAATGGGAGTGAAGCACTTGGAGAGGCCCAGGCTCGGCTAAAATAAGCATCCCCATGACTAGGTCTTGCATGGAGAGAAGGTACAGGGGCAGGAAACTGCATTTTCATTTAGAAACTGGAGTAAAGACGCAAAGCCAAGGCCATGAATAGAATGGCGGGACACTCTCTTGTTCTACAGGATAGTTGTGTAGCTGGATGGTGCTGTACATATATTCTCATGGGCTCCCATTTAAATTTAGAGATCCGGTAGCTTAGAGAAATAAGAATTTCCCCAGAGAGCACTGAAAGTATTTGGTTGCCATGCCAGCATTTCTGTCACATACCTGGTAGGGATACACCTATCTGGTGAAGACCACAAACGTTCAGAACTGCAAAACGGTGCCTCACCAAACCCAACACCGCTAATTCCACGCAGGGCCTTTCAGTGTCTGTGTGTCAGTGTGGATGCTGATCCCTACCTACCACCTGTTTGTTTCCTACCTACTTAAAGGCGATCACTGATCTACGTGAGAATGCCATCTGTTTCTTATCTAACACCTCAGTCTCCACATTCTCTAATTCTTGGGCATCATGGTTTATAAGACATAATGATTCTTTAATTTCATTTTACAAACTCTTACGCTGGCACATATGATTCTACTGCATGGAGGTAGAATCCCAGGGATTCCCTTAGAATGTCATGAAAGCTTAATGCTCCTTCCCCCCAAAACCACATCCCTCTTCTTACTAAAAAAAGGAGACGTCAGAATTTGCCAAGAAACATAGTCACGAGCCGGAGTTTGCAAAGTGTGCTCCGCTGGGCTCTAGAGAATTCCCAGTGGTGCCCCTGCCCAGTGGGGGGTGGGCACAAGGGGAAACCCAGCAGGTGGGCACGCCCTCCCCCACCTGCCTCTTCCCTCCCTTCCATGGAGAAACTCCACTTTTAACACTTTTTAAAAATCAGACTTTCCCATAAAGTTGAGCTTTCCGAAAGCTCCGAGAGGTGACACGGAGACCCTTCCCAGGGCTGAGTGCGGCTCACCCACGGAGGCTGTGTACGGCTCCGGCATGGAATGCTGGCTGGGCAGGGCCATCTTGGTGGCGGAAGGATAGGGCCCGTAGCCCTGGAAGAAGCTGCCGAAGGCCACGGCAAAGCACAACACAACCACCTGCAGGGTGAAGGAGAACAGGGGAGCTTCGATTCCAAGATCCACAGAGCACACCTTCAGGCCTGCAGCACCCGAGGGGCCCAGGGAGAAAGCCTCCCCCCAGCCCCACCACGGGTCACCACGCAGAGTGGGCCGCACGCTGCCTCTGAGCCCACAGCACCCGGACTGCAGGGAGGGGAGGGATGGAGACTGGGGAGCGGGCTGGGCAGTTACAGTGCTGCCCCTGGGGAACCTCACCATCAGGCAGGTGCCAGTCTGCGTGCCGGCCAACTTGCAGGTGCGAGAAACCTTGCCCATCACCAAAGTCTGCAGCTTCTGCAGCTGCTGGAGGAGAGTCCTGTGAACATAAAGAACAGAACCACGGAGGGCACCTGAGGGGTAAGACCATGCTTTGGGTGGATCTGCCTCAAGCTCCAGGACAGCTGCTGTGACTTTGTGCCTGAATTTGGAGAGAGAGCCAAGGGACGGTCCCCCATGGAAGAACATGGGGACACCAGTGCCTTCTAGGGCTGGCATTACAGAGCATCCTGGGGGCCAATCAGTCAGTCCCTACGCTGTTCTGAGTACTCGGTGAATGCCCCAAATTTTCCCTGACATGTTGGGACTTGTCGGTCAGCCATTGGGGAAAAAAGTGAAAAGACCTTTCTGACTGGCTGGTGACCGTGANCAATCAGTCAGTCCCTACGCTATTCTGAGTACTCGGTGAATGCCCCAAATTTTCCCTGACATGTTGGGACTTGTCGGTCAGCCATTGGGAAAAAAAGTGAAAAGACCTTTCTGACTGGCTGGTGACCGTGATACAGGAGAACTCATTTACCCAAAGAAAAGAAACACGGGACAAGACATGAGAAAAAGGAAAGGGAGAGGAAAACGCCCAGCAGAGAATGATGGAAGGACCAGAGGTGGTGGCCGTGACTGGACAGGACAACACTGTCACAGAGCTACCCTCAGAGGGCAGGCTAAGGGAGAGAGAGGGGATTAGCAAGAATGGCAGAGAGGCAACAGCCACGGCACCTGGAGCCCATGGTCCTTGAAGGCTCACGGCACCTCCATGGCCAAAAACAAAGCCAAAATACGAAAGAGCCAAGATGCTTGCTCAACTGCATAGGGCCCAGGCCCAGGACCTCGGAAACCAGCCTCTGATATCGACTCAAAAAACAGTTGTTCTACCCCTGAAACTGGACTGCGCACAACCTTAAAAGGGAGGGGTTTGGAATGAGAATAGTCTCTTCTGCTCTGTGTGATTTCAGGTCACAGAAAGAGCGGGGGTGAAATTCTTAGCAAATCCCAGACACGACAAGCCATAGAAAAAGATCTCACAACACACCCTCCTGAACCAGCGCCTCGGAGGTGAATTTCTCATGAGCAGAGTGAAGAGTCGAAGCTCCCGCCTCCCTCATCCCTCTTCCCCAAGCCCAGTGCACAAGGCCGAGTGGAAAGATTTTACAAGCAGATGCTTTTCCTTGAGTCTCAAAGGTTTTCAGAAAAGTCATGCTGTGATGCAACTTTAGAAAGCCAGACAAGTTCACTGGGAAACATTAACCGATCCCCTGTTGGCAGAATTCCTGGCTTTCACGGATAACTTGCCTCTCACCACAGTCTATCTCCTGAGTAGCTTTCAAGGGCTCGGAGACCAAGCAGGTTGTCCCAGGGTTTGCAGCTTCTCCTGGGCAGGTGTCAATAAAACGAGTCCCCTGGGTTGTAAGCCTATTAAGGAAGGTTGGCCACTGGATGATACCGCTTTCAGCAGTTAAGCGGGTAAAAGTGGGGGCAGAATGGGAGCCACCCGAGCACATGCAGGGGAGGCTTTCTGAACCTCAAAATCTGAGTGTGGCCCCAACTACACCATATTTTTACCTTGTGCCATGATTTTAATTCAAGCAAATCAAAATCGTTCATCCCATTAATTAGTATCGTTAATGGAAATTCATGTAGATGGAGATTCTTTAGTACTTGGTTGTAAATTTTTAGCTTTATGGTTATCTAGAAATACAAGCACACGTAGGTGAGACCCGATTTGGTCTTTAAAAGTGTTCTGTGCGCTTCTCAAGGCTGAGAAATACTGCCAGAAGGATTACCTTAAATTCTGCTTAAAGAAAACCTGTCATTTGCGACAACATAAATGACCTTGGAGAGCACTGTGCTAAGTGAAACAAGCCTGGCAGAGAAAGACAAATCGCACATGGTATCAGTACTATGTGGGATCTAAAAAAAGAGTCAAACTCAGAGAAACAGAGAGTAGAAAAAAGTGGTTGCCAGGGGCTGGCGGGTGGAGGAAACAGGGAGAGGTTGGTAAAAGGTACAAACTTTCAGCTGTAAGATGAATACATCTTACAAGGTTTGAAGATCTAACGTATAACCTGGTGACTATAGTTGATAACGCTGTATTGAATAATTGAAATTTGCTATGAGAGTAACGCTTAAATGTTCTCACCCAAAAAATTCAAAATAAAAAGGTAAATAGGTAAGGTGTTGGATGTATTAATTAACTCAATGTGGAAATTCCGTTCACAATATAGCAAATGATCACACCGCACACTTCATATAACTTACAATTTTGTTAACTACACCTTGATCAGGCTGGGAAAAAAGAAAACATTTGCAATGAAATGCTCACTTGACGCAGCAGGTATATTTCCTCGCCACGCTTCTCTCTTCTCCCAGCGCCTCCCAAGAGCACTCCGCTCTTACCCCAGCATGGCTGCCTTTCCAAAATCGAGAGCTAAGGGGCCTACCGCACACCCCCTTCCCGGCCGAGCTGAGACGGGCTGGCAGGAGCGCGCATTAATCCGTCACCATCTGTACCGGCCCCAGAGCCCCGCGGGGTTGTCCCCGACGTTTCCTGGAGGTCCTGGGGCAGACGTACAGGTGAAGGCCCAGAAAGGACCGGGGGTGGACCACGCGGCACAAACCCTTTCCTCCTGCATTCTGGCCACCTCCTCGGTACCAGGTAATAAGGTCTTTGTTGCCAGCTGAACTACGACAAAGGGGCCTCCGTTCCCTGGGCTGCCTGGGATGTGGCTGAAGAGCCCCGCCTGTGAATGACAGCTGCCACATCTGCAGGGCACCTCTGCTCCGTGGGGCGCTCCTGCTGGCGGCCGAGGTGCCCGAGTTCAGCTGTGCCCTGCGCCCAGTGGGAAGGTTTCTCCATCCAGGTTCTGTAAGACAGCAGCTTTCCAGACGGTACCGAAGCCGTTTACTCCTCTTGCTCCAATGTCTAAGGTGTTTTTAAAATGAAACCACCGTTTCCATTTTTACCACCCGTCCCCACTCACCCACGGCCTTCCCACACTTCCCCCCTGCCCATCGCCTGCTCCCGCCCCGACTTCAGAATCTGAAACGCCGAGAAAACCAAGTCTGTCCAAGGCTCGGAACATGCCTCCCTTCCAATTTCTGCTTGAGGCCCCTGGGCCTGGTACTCCCTCCCCTAGAATGAAGTCTCCAGGGGGTTCCACGGTCCCCTCAATGCAGACCTCTAGCAGGCCAGATCCACCTGAACCCCAATGGCAGGCGGCCTTGGGCCGAGTGCTACAGTTGGAAAGAAGGACCGTTTCAGCCGCCTGGGCCAGCAGGCACATGCTCACGGGCCGTGTGGCACCTCCCTCGGCATTCATCCCCCCCAACTCAAAGTCATTACACTCTGAATCCACTGCTAGTGAAAATGGGTGGTCAGTGGTCCCTGATTTCCGACAGTTTATAATCTAACCCTTCAAGATGAGCAAACGCGTAGTTTAAAGCAGGTACATCCTAATTTGGAATTTTGGCGGAGAGCAACAGCGATTTCACGTGCTGTTTGCCACTGCTCTTGCTGGGACTGGCGGAGGTACCCGAACGGATGGTGGAAACGATGAGACTGCGAAGGCCTCAGCGATCAGCAACCCTGTGGTTTCACCCGAGGGAGGTGGGTTGGTTCGCCCACCCTGAAAATCTAGACAGACTTCTACGGGCTGATAAAGTTGAGGAAGTTCGTATCTTTTCATACAACAGAAATAATCGTTTTTGTCATAAGGAAATAAAATCAACAGTGACGGAGTGAGTGCCCACCGATCGGGTTCGAGGAACATCACAGACTGAGACACTAAGTAACTGTCTCAAAGACACAGAACTAGTAACTGGAAGACTTAGATGTAAACCAAAACCAGACTCCACACCCCTGGGTGCTTTCCAACACAGTACAACGTGGTGCCCTAATCTAGAACCTCAAAAAATTAGCCTCCAAAACACTTATTAGCTCAGTAGATTTTCTTAAATCCAGTGACACTGATATCACATCAACAAGAGCCCAACCGGGAGATAAGTCCACCGCTAGGTGTAAGAAGATTACTATCAGCAGGGACCACGCCACATTCAGAAGAGACGAAATAAAGCCAGCCCGTGGCAATGAGACATAGTCTAACAAAGTTTCTGTGACAGTGACACAGATGAAAACAGGAAGGGCACGTGAACGTTTACTGGCACTTCTCTGGATAGACCCAGATAAGATGCAAGTGACAGGTAGGAGGTTCAGGGGTGCCGCATGCCCCACCTCAGGCCCCAGGAACGCACACCTGGGCTCTGCTTACGGGAATGGAAACTACACCTGTCTCTCTGCCGGACACCGAGGAGCAGATGCGACGGCCTTAGGACGGCTCAGCTGGTACAGTCGCTGGAACAGGGGCACAGGCTCCCCCAGCAGAGGACCCTGAGCTTAGAGCTCGGCACCACTTCTCTGTGTCCTTCATCAGGTCCGAGTTTAGGCAGCTGGTCAGAGTTAATTCCCGTGACCTCACCTAGTGCCAGGGTAGTGAGAGAATCCCTGCTGGGGGACTCTGGGGGTGTTGATACAAGTACCCCACGAAGCGTGCTTGCTGTGTCTTTCCACTGGTGACAGATGAAGCCAGGCCTCCTTACGGGAAAGCCTGGGACCTCCCCACTGACATGTTCTAGGGTGGTGTGGTTTACTCTGCTCTCCCAGATGTCACTGGGACAGACCCACAGCCAGCATGGATGACAGCTGTTACCCTGCTTGCGTGAAGGGCCAGGCAGAGGAACGGCAGCCATCAGATGAATGAAAGAACTATTTTAAAACTAAAGCTGTAGCCCTGGCTACAGTGGTTAGAGCTTCAGCCCAGGCACCAAAGAGTTGAGGGTTCGATTGCCGGTCAAGGGCACATACCTGGGTTGAAGGTTCAATCCACAGCCCTGGTTGGGGCACAGGAGGGAGGCAACCAATAGGTGTGTCTTGATGTGTGTCTCACATCGATGTTTCTCTCTCTCTCACACGTTCCCTCCCTCTTTCCCTTATACTCGCTCTAAAAAAAAAAAAAAAATCAATGGAAAAAAAATATCCTCAGGTGA